TGTGATTTAATTCATCAGGTCTGTGGCGGAACCGAAGATGTTGCACCTGATCTTTTTTGGACAAGGCGGGTGGGTGCCGCTCCCCCCCCCTTATTCCCCCCCCCCCCCCGCCACGGCCCGTACGCCTGTGGGTGAATTATTGTTCTGAAGTCAATTGCCCACAACATCCATTGACACTGAAAATTCCTCAGAAAAGTAAAAATGCGATTTTGTAAACATTCCAGTGGTTATAGACTCGTTCTTTCTTGATTATGGACATAATGTGAGTCACTTAATTTTCCCGTCATGTTATGTTCGCGACACTGGCCGAATTTATACTAGAGACCAATTATCCGTCTAGACGGATTATCCGTCTCAGACGGATAATTCGTCTCTAGCATAAATTCGGTGCTAAGACAAATTATGAAGCAAAATTCGTCTGAAGCTGATTCGTCTGTTAGCACGTCTTCAAGACGTGCTAACGGATAGATAATTCGTCTTAGACGGATTATCCGTCCCTAATTTTATATCTAGACGGAACGTAGACGGTTTTTTGACGAAGTTTCCACATGAGAGGGGCTTGTTTCTATATTTTCGGAATATTTCCTGTTTCCCGCTCAAACTATCTAGACAAATTATGGAGCAAAATTCCCTTACGGATTAATACTTAGACGAATTATCCGTCTGACGGATAGTCTGTCTAGACTGATACCCCGTCTCCAGTATAAATTCGGCCACTTATTGTTCGCGTCACTTTAATTTCGCGATATTTTTTTAATCGCGAAATTCGCGAAATTAACATGTCGCAAAAATTTCATGTAATAATTAAGGTAAAATAAATGCATACTTCAACCTCCTTCAGCTTATGGTCTCCTCGAGATTCTTGTCTACTCAAAATAATAGGATAAATACTACAAAAGAAATTTTAGAAAACAGTGTTTCACTACGGATCAATGAGTGTCCAAATACAGACTAGCCAAAGGAAAGAAAACGTCTATTAACAGGGTACTCAAAAGAAAGTAAATGATTGTCGATTGTTGATTATTATATGCTGATAGTCTGTGTACAGCTGCTAAAATTGCCCCTAAGATGCTCGGCAACTTCAGTTTGGGCAACTTTTCCGATTTCGAGCAAGTTTTCTAATTTGGGCAAACTTTTAAATATCTTTTATTTGGGGCAACTTCTTAGGTTCTAAGTCAATTTTATTAAATAATAACTTACAGACTTAACTGGCACCTTTTTGGTCACTACCGTCACATACCGTTTTATAGTTTTCTAAATATTGTGTAGTTCCAGAAAATATCCAAACCCCCCATGGAGGGCAACGGACATTTAGAGGTGAGGAGATTCAAAAGGAGGCAATTTCCGAGGGGTTGGTGGTGGTCTCTTGAGTCTTTTTGCCGGAGGCTCCGAGTAAGATTGATGAGCAAGCTATCAGTTGTTATACTATTAATCGTTGTTTCAAAGCAAAAATTATTGTTTTTAAAGGAAGGAGCCATTCTCCGATTTTTTTTCTGGAGGGAGGGGGCGACAGTGCACAGGATAATTAGCTGGTTGCTTGGTTGTGAAGGAATTAGTCTACCTGCAAGCTCTCTGGGAGCCAGAGCCCCTAAACGTCTTTCCTTTTTAGAAGGATTCATGCTATAATTTATGGAAGGACAGGCCATGAAAATTTAAAACGACTCAAGTTCGTCTTTAATACAAGTTTTTACTCTAAGGGTTTGCTGAAAACATGACCTTAAGTCTCAGCAGTGGCTAATTTGCTAATTATTTTCTCAAAAGGTACCATGCATCAGCAGTGAATAAAGTATGGCCCTTTCCAAAGAATATACCAGTGAACAGCTGAATTTTTTCAGAGTTTGTTATGTAACTACTGATGTTCTAGCCGACGGTCTAAGAGAAATATTTAAACAAGAATGGGACAAACTGTACAAAACAACAAAAGGAGAATGGAAAGATGATTATCGAAGTGGAACAGACTTTTATAACGGTGAGTCTCCTGGAAATCAAAGAAGAAACGCTCATCTTTTGGCAACTATGAAAAACGGAAACAGAAGGGAATGGGATTGTACAATGCTGTTCTACGCCATCCTTTACTCTGACTCTATCGGGCCCCACCTTGCCCCAACAGTAACAAAAGGTGTATATGATCTAAGAAATTTCAGAAACGCACAAGCTCACACAACTCAAGGACGTCTCTCTTACATGGATTTTCAAAATGCCATTGGCAAAGTTGATGTTGCGTTTCAAGCTCTTGGTCTCACTACTGAAAAAATTCAAGGGATTAAAAATCAGGCAACGTTCCCAACGGAACAATTACTAAAGACCTTGACGGACCTCCAAGAAAAAGAAAATCAGCGACAGGTCCTTGCAGACCAGCTGCATAAAGAAGTGCCTTTATTCTGCATTCTCCCTCCTAAACCTGCACACGACATTGGGAGTCGCGATCGCGAGGTAGCAAAAATAGCCCAACAGCTAAAGGAATTAAAGAAGGCCAATTACAACCGATTGAGTTATTCATACATCTCAGGAAATCCTGGTAGTGGCAAATCCCAGTTAGCTGGCCTCGTAGCTCAAAGATTTTTTCATGACCAAGTCAAGGAAATGCCAGACGCTTCTTCATTTGTGATGACCTTAAACGCTGCTAGCCCAGATTCCCTTCTGGAGTCGTATACTAACTTTGCTCGTCAATTAAAGTGCCCAGATTATTCAGTAATGCAAATCCTGAGTTCAAAGGAATGGTCAATTGACAACAAGATCGCCAATCTTAAGATGCTTATTGGGGCAAAAATTAGTCATTACACGTCGTGGCTAATAGTAGTGGACAATGTCACTACCCTTTCGTCTGTGCATGTTCACCTACCCCAGTCGGGAAACGAGGCGTGGGCAAGGGGTCAATTGTTGATAACTACGCAGGATACAACGTCAATCCCCTTAGAAAGCTCTTTAGTTAATCACATCTCCGTTAGCAAAGGTATGGAGCCCGACGATGCCAGTTGTTTATTGACCAAGCTTTCTGGTATCGCTGATGTTGAGCTAGGGTTAGAGGTGGCGCGAAAACTGGATTATCAGCCTCTTGCCTTAGCAGGCGCTGCCGTTTTTGTCAAAAGCATTCGACAGGACAAAATAAAAAGGCATTTTGGCTGGGACGAATACCTGAAGCTATTAGAGAAAGGCAAACGAGAAACGACAGAGCATACCCTTGCTGATAAAAACTCTGCTTATCCTAATACAATGACCAAAGCAGTAACACTAGCTGTCGAAAGACAGGTTACATCTGACAAAGCCGTGAGAGAGCTGTTTAGCTTATTATCGATATGTGGACCAGAGCCTTTAAACGTTGACGTAGCAATCAATTATATTGCGAAAGAGGAAGAGGATAAGGATTTAATTCACATGACTTTTGGATGCTCCCTGCTACTTTTAGAGGAGCAAGAGGATGGCACTTTCATTCGTGTACATCAGGTTGTCCACGACGCTATCAAACTTGTGATGAGTGGCTATCAAGAGAGTCAAACGTCTTACATCGTAAGTGCAGCTGTTGCGTCATTCAACCAATTTATTTTCGAAATTCCACCAGAGAACAGGAGACTGGACACTATGCATATCATCCCGCATATTAATTCTCTTATTACACTAATTGATAGTTTTTCCACAGAGCCTCTATTTCAGGTCCAAGGAATATCAGAAAAATTAAAAAATCTTGGCGAGATTTGCCGAATTCATTGTGAATTTATCGTCGGTAAAAAATATCTAAAACATTCCCTCGCAATTCAGCTACGACTGCTGGGAGTCAACCACGTTGACGTTGCAGCCACCTACACTGCGTTATCTTCAATTCACGAAGAATTATGGGACCTTGAGAAGGCGAAGGAGTATCAGCAAAAGGCTCTAGAAATCGAAATCGATAAGTATGGAGGTGAAGATGCTACTGTCGCAACAAGTTACAGCAAATTAGCCATAATTTTTATGGAACTTGGTGACCTTGGGCAAGCCGAAGAATATCAGCAACGCGCTCTAGCCATTGAATTCGACAAGCTTGGAACCGAGCATATTTCTATTGCAACGAGCTACAACAATCTAGCTTTGATTCACAGGCAGTTGGGCAACCTTAAGAAAGCCATGGAGTACCAGCAATACGCTCTATCCATCAAATTAAAGAAGCTCGGTGCTGGACATGTTTCAGTTGCAACAAGCTATTGTAACCTAGCCTCAATTCATAAAGACTTAGGTGAACCTGATACGGCAAAGAAGTATCAACAACGTGCTCTAGAAATCGAAGAAGAGAAGCTAGGAGCGAACCATGTTTCTGTTGCGAAGAGCTACACGATCTTAGCGTCTATATGCCGGCATTTAGGTGACCTAGAGCAATCCAAGGTGTACCAGCAGCGTGCTCTGGACATCCAAGTTGAGAGGCTTGGTACTGAACATGTTTCTGTTGCAACAAGTTATGGTAACTTAGCCTCGATTCATAAAGAGTTAGGTAACCTTGAGCAAGCTAATGACTACCAGCAACGTGCTTTAGCGATAAAACTTAAGACGCTCGGTGCTGAACATGTTTCTGTTGCAACAAGCTACAGCAATTTAGCTTTAATTCACAAAGACTTAGGTGACCTTGAGCAAGCCAAGGAGTATCAGCGACGTGCCCTCGTTATCCAAGACAAGAGGCTCGGTAGTGATCACGTTTTTGTGGCAACAAGCTTAAACAACATAGCATTAATTTACAAGGACTTAGGTGACCTTCAAAAAGCCAAAACTTATCAGCGACTTGCTCTGGACATAAAAGTAAAGAAGCTCGGTAGTGAACATGCCTCTGTTGCAACTAGCTACAGTAACTTAGCTCTGATACACATGGACTCAGGTGACCTTGCTCGAGCCAAAGAGTATCAGAAACGAGCTCTTGGAATTGAACTTAAACAGCTCGGTTCTGAACATATTTCTGTTGCCGTAAGTTATAACAACCTTTCTGTGATTCACAATCGATTACATCACCTCAAACGCGCAAAAAGGTACCAACAACGAGCTATTGAGATCAAACTGAAGAAGCTAGGTCCTGAACATGTTTCCGTTGCAACTAGCTACAGTAACTTGTCTTCTATTTTCAAGGACTTCGGAGACTTTGAGCAAGCAAACGTGTATCAGCAACGTGCTTTAGCGATCAAACTGAAGAAGCTTGGAGCAGAGCATGATTCTGTCGCAACGAGCTACAGTCACTTAGCGTCAATTCATCAAGGGCTAGGTGACTTTGAACAATTCAAGAAGTACCAACAACTTGCTCTGGCGATCAAACTTGAAAAACTGTAAAAGGTTTGAACGCGGGAGTCATTTCATGAGTAGGTTGAGCATGATCGTTCGGGTGAACGTAGTCCTGAATAGGTCAGTTGTTAACAGATACTGACGTTTCGAAAACCTGTGCAGTAGTCCTATTGAGGACTACGTTCACCCGGACGATCATGCTTAACCTACTTATGAAACTTAAGAAAGTCGCCAATTTGTGCAAGCCAAATTACCCATGAGTATTCCGCTAACACATGCACATATAGTTTGGCAACTGTAAATTAACAATTTGACTGGAAATTAACTACTTCTCAACCTTTTGGCATACACAGGGGTAGACGCCACTTTAACAAAGGTTTTTCTCTGGCATGTTCAAAACAATTTTGAACCAAAACCTCTTCTTTTTAGCAATTAGTTGTTGTTCCCTTACCCACATGGCCTCAAAAATTAGTGAAATTCCGTTCCTATGGTTAAAGACAGTGACATCGAGACCCGGAGTGTAGCTGAATGTCTTCGTAGAGGGTTAGGGTGCTCTACTCGCGACTGCCTCTAAAGAATGTTTTTCCCTTATGGAAATAATTCATTTCAAGTCCGAAGGACCACTAAAATTTGATGTCCTTCATTGTCTTGAGGATTGATAACTCTGGTCACGTGTCTGATGAGCCATAATTGAGGAAAATGTGAAATGAGGCAAGGATTGTTAATTGTGGTTGCTAAAAGTGCATGAATGGAATCCGTTTACTGAAAGAAGAAAATCTTCTTCTGCTAAAAAGATGGATGTAACAAATAATGCTGGTCACGTCACCTTTTTCCTTGTTAATTTAGTTGTTAGCGTTAATGCACTTAGCTTTTTTTCGCGAATGAAACAACACCATTATTGTTTTTAACTCCTTGTAAACTAGACAAAGTCAAATTTTTCGCAATAAATAGAAAACAGAGAGATTCTCGAACTAAAGGGTTAAATCTGCGTTGTTCTCAGGCGCCTAAAAGAACGTGCGAAATTTTTAGGTTAAAAAACAACAACAACAGGGGTCTAGGGGTGGTTGCTCCCCTTGAGATGTGACGTCATAAGTAGTTCAATTTTTTTGTTCTACAAAAAATGCAAGATGGTTAGATTTCTGTATTATTTCTTTTCTTTTCTTTCTTTCCTTTTTTAATTTTGTGGAAACCAAGATCGCTATCAGAATTCCATTGTCTCTACTGTGATAGATATCAGAATAACGTGAATAATATTCAAAACCTGTGCACATACCGAAGGCCAGTGTTTTCACTCCACTTGATATTGCGGCTTGATTAAAGCGGCATAATATAACATTTTACAGACTTCCTTCTATGACAATATAACAGCCCAGAGGAGAAACAAGCTAACTGGTGTGGTTGCTGTTTCATTTTATTCCTCTTTGCTGACTGGAAATAGCTGAATATAATTGAGATCAACCAAATGGAAATCAATGTCTGGCTTGACATTCTTTCTTCCTAAGTTAACCCTTGGACGTACGGGGGAGGGGGGGTGGGGGGTGGTTTCTATCTCCTCTCTGACGTTTTTTTGAAAACATCAGCATCTGACGTTCTCAGTAGCTATTTGTTTATCCCCGCGCGTTTTTAAGACAAGTTTAGTGATGGTCAGTCACTATGGTTACGAGGTATGACGTCATAAGTAGTAGTTGGTCAAGCCATTTTTGAGTGAAAATGCATGTTTGTTCAACTTTGTTTCAACAATTAAAGTAAAACTTGTGAATGAAATGATGCAAAGTGCTTATTTATGTGTTATTTTGTTCACAGACAAGAGCGGTGATTTTGGCGCGATTTTTGTGACAGAGCGAAACTGCGCTACGCCGATATCTAAAATAAAGAGTCGGATAGCTGTTCACACTGTGATTTCCGACAAAGGTGTGTGTCAACTCACGGTACAAGATCTTTGAGCACAGTTTCAGCGTTTTCCCAGTTCTTTCCATCAAGCACTGTTGTTTGGAAGTTTTGTAACTTCCTATAAGTTAGTAGATAGCAGGGTTTTATAAGGCAATAGGCCAGGAAATGGAGTAATTGCCTTATTGCAGACAGGGATGCTTAAAGCACATGAAATTTAACCTCGCGATCGGAAGACGATGCACTAGTGCAAACGTAAATGTTATTTAACAATTAGTTCATGCGTCAGCGTGCGTATGTCGAGATATTGAGCACGCGGGAAGTTTGGAGAGCACGATCGCGAAAGAGGCTTAAGAGTGCGAACTCTATCCTCTTGAGTGCTCTTCAAACTTCCCAAGTGCTCAATATCTCGAAATACGCACAGCTGAAGCATGAACTAATTGTTTTATAGCATTATCAAAGCGATCAATAACTTAAATTTTTATTATTGTAGCGCGCGCTCAAAGCAGTACGCGTCAATGTCTACAGGACTATATTTTTTTACCTCACAGTAATGTTTTTGTCTTGAAAATGAGAGAAAGTTTACTCAATTCGCTTAAGATAACACTAAAAAAGATTGTAAAATTCATATTAATAAAGGTGCCGGAAGACTATTAATTCACCGAAAAATTCTTTTTGAAAGAGATAACTTGGCAAAGAAATGATTTGCACTTGCCATAGCCCGCACAGCTCGCGTAGACGACAGCAACAAAAACACTTACCCCTTTTCGCTACTATTGGTTAACAAATTCAAACCTTTCTCTTAAATTTACGTTATAAAACACATGATTAACGCTTCATCGTGTACTGTTGAGTTACGGATGCACTTGGGAGACGCCTTGGGAGGATTGCTAAGCTCACAAGAACTCGAGGTATATATAGTCTATTGACGTCGTCAGCGTGCTCAATGGGAAGATGAAGCACGCTCGAGCTATTGATTTTNAAAGCACATGAAATTTAACCTCGCGATCGGAAGACGATGCACTAGTGCAAACGTAAATGTTATTTAACAATTAGTTCATGCGTCAGCGTGCGTATGTCGAGATATTGAGCACGCGGGA